TATTGTAAAATAATATAAAAAAAATTTTCATCAATTGTGTAACGATTTTGTGACGTATCAACGGTTCCTCCTGTTAAATGCAACCCCTAATGCAACATGCAATACTCCTAAATGCAGCATTTCTCTAAATGCAACCTTTACCTCTGGTCCGAGTCCCTGGACAAGACCTTTTTATTGATCACTTTGAATATTCAAGGTATTACCCTTTTGATTAGTAAAAAGGACCTATCTATTTTAAGGATTAACATAAAGGTCCTGTCCAGAGACTTATCAAACACGCGGTATACAAATGCAAGCTCTCAAAAGTTTGGTTTTTATGAATTGCTTTTATAGTGGTTTGACTGTAATTTCTTTTTGCTAGCCCGACTTGGTTTTTATTCCACACCTACTAAACCTACTAGAAAAAGAAAATCTTGATGTAACCATTACTCGATCCAACAAAAGGCAGCATCGTTAGTTCAATTATATTTTTATACGAAGACGGAAGGAACGGGAAAACCCGCGTTTTATCGAATTTAACATAAAATAGAGTTTTTCCATTGTCATTAACACCAAGTCTGCAAAAATGAAATAAATACCGATGCACTTAGCTGAGTCTATAAATAACGCTTACAGTTTTTTAATTTTCTTTTTTTTAAAATGTTGTTTATACAAAAAATACGTATATTTTCGGATAAATTACATTTATCTTTGGTAATTTATTTTATATTTTTGATTTGTATTTATACATATATGCTATTACTAGATTAAAAGAAAATAAAAGGAATTTTCAAAAAAACACCCGAATCACATAACGCCATAACTTTTAATTTGCATCATCCTTTCTCTTCTCAAAACATTCAAGCTTTATCCGACTAAGAAGAGACCCACGACATTAAATATCCAATTTCATTATTTAGCAATATCATCAGATGTAAGCTCGCTTCGATTACATTGTTTGTTAATTTCTTGGGTTTCCTACTGTAAATCTTGCTAATATTCTTTTTTCCTATCAATCAAATCTAATTTTCAAATAAAGCATATTTAAAATAAAGTTGAAGTACTTTATAATGAAAACAGAAATATAAATAACCATATAAAGCACGGGTAGCACCACCAGATGTAGTTACCATTGCAGCAAAAACAAGTCTTCCGATCGTTTCGCAATATAACTATAATTTACATTATTTGGATCGAGATCTGGTGCAGCGTAGCTTTTATTTTTTAATTAACCAATCAATGCAATCTCTGCAATCTAACCAACTAATCAAAATTCTATGCCCTTCGGAAACAAAACAAAAAATTTTAATTATTATTTTATTTGGAATTTTCAATTTTTGAATTAGTTAACTTTTTTAATTTTTAATTTTTTTTTAATTTTTAATTCCTATTTTTAATTTTTTTTATTTTTAATTTTTTTTTAATTTCTAATTTTACTTTTTAAATTTTAATTTTTTTAATTTTTAATTGCTTAAATTTTAATTTTCAAATTTTCTTTTTTTTGGGGGAATTCTATTTTCACCCGGGTGAAAATAGAATTTCCCCTTTTATTATATAATTTAGCATATTTATAGATTTTTTTTGATATTTTAACATTTTGCTACTTCATACATTTTTTCGATATCTGAAAATTTGCTATACTCAATTTTTCATCTAATCGTTAATTGCACCTCTTTTAGACTTTTCCTGGTCTATTTATTTACCATTCCTTAACCTTTCATCGCGCTCTTTCCCAACCTTTTCATTGTACTCCTTTTCATTCCGTCCCTACACAACCTTTTCACTACGAACCTTCTCATTACGTCTCTCTACTTTCAATGCGCCCATTCAGCTTTTCATTTCGTCACTCATCAACGTCCTTTATCAACATTAATGTTGTATCCCTTCTTAATTTTTTTTAATGTTTCTTTCACTCATTTGTTTTTATAGTATGGCATTGCGCATGGTGATACGGTTCACGGTTTTTACGGTAAATAATGGTAAATAATACTGTAATACGGCAAGCGCCGCGAATTACGTACTACATCGTCTATAAAGCGGAAAAATTTATTGACATAAACTATAGGTAGGTTAATCCGGCTTATGGTACACTTCAATGCACGTCTTTTTTTGGTTAGAGTATATATGGATTTAGTGAATATTTAGATTTAAATTGGTGCTCAAATAGTTGAAGGATATAAACTTCATAGTAAAAATCGGCATTACTAGTTACCTTATATAGCAGTATCTTAAGAAAAACCTCTATAGTAAAAAATTGAAAAATACTCATATATAATTATATGCCCAACCAATTTTAATGATTTTACCACTATTAGAATCAGAAAAATTAGTTCTACAACTTTTATTAAAAGTCAAAAGAAGGTTTACATAATAAAAAAATGCTTTATATGTAATCTGGCCAGATTCCTGTAGGATTTCCGACTTTGTTTAAGATTTGCTATTTTTTTTACCCCTTCAGAGGCAAACTACCCTTTAATTATTAAATATTATTAAATATATATAAATAAAAATAATAATTTTTATTCAGTGTTGTAAATTTGTAAATTTGGGTAATTAATTATGGTATAAACTTATTTCATAAACTATTTTGCCGACAGTCATTTCGTTGATAAAGTTGAGACGATGTAGGGTTTGCCTGATACATAGTTAGTGTTGGATAGAGATCGAATGTCATAGAATCTTACAGAAACCTTAGTTACGTACGTAAGTAAAATTTTATTAAGTTAGGGTATTTTCGTGTTATGCGTAAGGGAAAATTATTATTATTAATACTTATTATTTTTCAGCGGTACACCAATATTAAGAAAGTTTGGCTTTAGTCTCAATAAATAAAATTAAGCATGTGGTTTATTGCAAATCACATTGACTCATCGTTATGGAGAAGCTTTATCGAGTAAAGAATAAGCAAGATGTGAAAACCATGTCACATCCACTAAGTAGGGATGGATTCGATTACGAACGGTTACGATTATTCATAGCCAATTTGCTAAATACCTACTGAAATGATTTTTTATTTTTGAACTATTAATTAAAGTTGTTCAGAATTAAATTTTGTTCATCCCATCTTATAAGTGTAAAGAATGGTACCTCCTCTGAGACTCAGAATTTCAAAATTTATTATCGTATAACCGGCGGTTAATAACCGGTTATGGCGTTAACAAATTTTTTAAAATTATGAATCTCAGTGAAGGTATCATTCTTTCCACTTATAAGATGGGATGAACAAAATTTAATTCTGAACAACTTTAATTAATAGCTCAAAAATAAAAAATCATCTCAGTAGGTATTTAGCAAATTGGCTACGAGTAATCGCAACCGTTCGTTTCCTACCACTAAGCCATACATTTCGTGATTTCATCACTCCTTTCCTGTTAAAATTATTTAAAGAAAACTATTTTATAAAGAAAAATTTTTATACATAATTTTGGCTGAACGAATCGACGTAATTTTGCCATGACATCAGTATAAATACAATATTAATAAATGACAGCAGTTGTCTATATTTATTACGAAATTATGATTTTTATTAAAGAGTAAATTATTTAGATATTTTGAAGTATTTTAAATTTCTTTAATAAATTCTATTTGTTAATATATTACAGATATTTTAATTTTTATCATCTAATATTGATTAGTGAAGAATCCTATTGCTACTTTAAACAAGTTTAACCAAAGAAGAGTAAATTAAAGGTATAATTAGTTAGAATATGATTTAATATAAGATTTATGTAAAAGATATATTGTCATGAAATTAAATTATTTCCAAGAGAACCCAATCGAATTTAATGTAGAATTTACTAAAGTTTTATGTTCCACTTCTGCATCCGGAGAAACATCAGACGGATTATCATCAGAACGCCATTGAACGACAACAGCAGGCTCAATACTGTATGAAGTGACGATTCCATCATCAATCCTTGAGATTAATTCGAGATCAACTGGAACTTCTAAAGTGGCAAGTTCGCCTAGTAATTTGAGAGCACCAGCGTATGAAACTGCGTAAGCATGTGTACAATATGGTTTTTTAGAAGGATATAATTTAAATATAGGAGAACTATCATCTATGGGCTCGAAGAATGAACCTTCCCAGTTCATACAATGACCTAAGTATAGAAGATCCCAATCATCAGGTAAAACACGATGAATATAGGACATTATCGATGTGATGTTGAGTTCAATATCTACATCATCTTCTAATATCAAGGCACTGTCGTAACCATGAGAAACAATTGATGCGTAGATCAAATAATGACTGATATAACATGCTTTATGAGTATCTTTCAGATAAGTGGAATTATTAAATCTATTCAACATTTTACGATCATCGGTAGAAACGGCAGTAAAAAACTCGACATCTAAACCAAGGGAATCAGTCATGGCTTTCATTACCCTGCGTCTATCCGGCCTCTTAGCAAGATTAATTACATAGATGTGATCAAAGCCAAGAGTGGAATTAAGAGACTTATTCAGAGAATTTACTTTTTCATGTTTGTTATAATGAGCGGAACCGAGTGAATATTGAGGAAGGAATAATCGAAGGAAGCTAGCAATGGTCAATATTGTCAAGCCGCTGACAAATATTATTCTTAAAAGCGCCCTTCTCTGTTTTAAAGTCAGCATTTTAGGATTCAAATGAATGAAAATAATGTTGAAAATACAAAAGTAATGGTTACATACTATTAAGATCTTTGTTTAATGCATTATTAAATATGTAACGTATTTCTTATACATTCAAGAAATGTACACTGCTTGGAGTCCCACAATTCGATTTTGGGTTGCAGAACACTTCTAAAAATAGTCGTTTGAGTACCGAATATAAATTACGTACTCATTTATTTATATTAATTCCTCGTGACTATAAGATTTTTTTGGGAATTTACAAATAAGGGCCTGAAAAGTGAAAATAATTACAAATACGGCCCAAATTAAAAATAATTACATGTAAGGGCCTAATTTTAAAAAATTTTTCATATAAGGAATTGATGGCTGAAAAAAAAGTGATCACGGGATTACTGTGCCACAAAATACTATGGTATTGACTTATATCTATTGCAAAATCGCGATTATAGAATTATCGGTTGTTTATTATAGGCATTTAGAGTTATCTATATACCGATTATTAGCGCTGCTTATAATCATTTTCGCTTAAATATTGTATAAAAATCAACAGAGTAGCTCTCTAGAGCTGAACGAACATCTTCCATATTAGTAAATGTACTTGACTTCATAGTGGTTTGTTATAACAATAAGCAAGTTCATTTGTCGATGCTTATATTTCTTACACTAATAACGATCAAGCCACAGGTTTGAATAACGTCGCGGTTATTTTGGACCCTTATATGTAATACTTTTAAAAATTAGGCCCTTATATGTATTTTTTATTTGGGCCCGTATTTATAAGTTATCGTGCAAACTCTTATGATCATAGTTTTTTTCTTCGTTATTTTTTGTACGTTATTACGTAAGCACAACAATCCCGAATTAAAACTCAGTTAGCCAACCACGACTCGGAAATC